CAGAAAGACTAAAAACTTTTTTCTTGCAAACATGGATGAGACTGTCATCCAGTCTGATACCCACTGTCACCACTTCTTTTCAGTATTGCATTGGAAGTGCTTGCTAGAGCAATACGACAAGAGAAGAAAATAAAAGGCATCCAGATTGGCGAAGAGATGGTTAAACTGTCCTATATCTAGATGATATGACAGTGTACACAGAAAACCCCAAAGACTCAACAAAAATCTGTTAGAGTCAGTTTAGTAGAATGGCAGTATTTATGATCAATATCCAGAAATCAATAGGATTCCTCTACAGTAACAAAGAAAACTCAGAGAAGGAAATCAAGAAAGCAATACCATTTACAATAGCCAACCACAAATTGAGATTCTTGAGAGTGAACCTAAGTAGAGATACAAAAGACCTATATAAAGAAAACGACAGAGCATTTCTGCAAGACACAATAAAAGACCTAAAGAAATGGGAAAATGTGCCCTGTTCATGAATAGAAAGACTATTACCTCCTCTTTTTATACCTCTTATTTCCTTTACTTGTCACCAATACTTCCAATACAGTATTGAATAGGTGAGGTAATAATGAGCGTCTTCTGTCTAGTTCCTTTTCTCAAAGAGAATGCCTTTAATCTTTCTCCATTGAGAACAATGTTGACTGTTGGTCTATTTGTATTTTGTTGAGTATATTAATCAGGAAAGGGTGCTGGTTTTTGTCAGAGGCCTTTTCTTCATCAATTCATTGAATGATGCGGTTCTTGGCTTTTGCTTTGTTAATGTGATGAATTACAGTTTTTACCTAGGGGTTTTGTTAAGTTGTGTAGAACAATTTTTTTTAAATTCGTTTGTTTCTTTTATTACCCACTGATGTACAAGCAGCGTGATGTGCAAGCAGGGTGTTTTTCAGCTTCCAAATGTATAGGACTTTTTCCTTTATCCTCTTACGATTAATTTCTAATTTTGTAGCATTGTGGTCTGAGAAGATGCTTTGTATTGTTTCTGTTTTTTTTAATTTATTGATGCTTGTTTTGTGACCTAAAACATGGTCTATTCTGGATAATGTTCCATGCACTTTGAAGAAGTTGTGCTGCGCTTTTTGGGGGTGCGTTAGCCTTTGTGTATCTGTGAGATTGAGTTGGTTTATTGTGTGGTTTCTTTAGCGTCTTCGTTGAATTTCTTTTGGGTTGTTGTTTGGTGCCTTCAAATAGAGTATGACTCAGCAACCCTATTTACAAAAGTGGTGAACCCAGTCCTGTCTTGCGCCAACCTCACACTTCCTTGGCAACCAAGAGCCAGTTGTAGTAGTCACTATGTCAGTCCACCTGATTTAGGGTCGTCCTATCCTTCGCTGACCCTCAATCCTTTCCAATATTAATAGTTTTACCTTTTCTTGAAAGTGGTGTATTGAACTTTCCTGCTACTATTGTGGTGGTGTCTATTTATCATTTCAGTTTTGCTGATGTTTGCTTTATATATTTTGCAGATCTATCTTCTAGTGCATAGATATTTATTATGGGTGTGTCCTCTTGTTCTCTTGACCATTTAATCATTATATAGTGACTTTTCTTATCCTTAGTGATGGTTTTTACACTGAAATCTGTTTTATCAGAGATTATTGTTTCTACTGCTTTTTTTTTCTGGTTGTCGTTTGCTAGGTATATTTTTTTCACCATTTTTTTTAGTGTTTCTTTATCTTCACTTTTCAGGTGTTTCTCTTGTAGACAGCATATTGATGAATTTTGTTTTTTTTTAATCCAGTCTGCTACTCTTTTTCTCCTCTCTGGTGCATTTAAACCATTCACACTCCATGTAATTATTTAGAGGTAAGGTTTTATTGCTATTTTGTTGAGTTCTTTTTGCTGGTGGTGTTGGTTACTTTGGTTCATCCTGCTTTCTGTCTCATCTCTGTAAGAAGGATTTCACTCATATTTGCTAAAATGCTGTTCTTGTGTTTATAAACTCTCGTAGATGTTGTTTATCTGAGAATCTCTTGATCTCTCTGTCTTATTTGATGGACATTTTTGCTGGGTACAGTATTGTTTGTTGGTTGGCAATTGTATTCTGGATATTAGATGGATATCATTTCACTGTCTTCCTGCTCAGCAATTTGTACTTTATTGCTCTTCATTATAGGTTACTCTTCATTTCTTTCTAGCTACTTTCAAAATTCTCTCTTTATCTTTTGTTCTGGCAAATTTGACTATGATATACCTTGTTTTATTTTTTCTTTCTATTGAAGTCTATTTTATATTGAGGTTGGTCTGTTTCTCATATATAT